AATATTTTAAAATAATACTTTAAATTGACTTTAACTAAAATAAAAAGATTATTTAATATCAAATTAAATTATTAAAGCTATTTTAAATATTATTTATTTCATTTTAATAACATTTCTTCTTACTGAAACAGCTATTTTTTATTTAATATATTGAAATTATTATTTTTAAGAAATATTCTTTATAACTAACAACTCAAACGAAGTAAATAAATTTCAAATAATTGTTGTTTAAGAACATAATTTAAATGTATATTTAAAACATTTATATAAGTAACACCTTGAGATGATTTTTATTCAGAAAACATATAAAGGGGTATAGTTAAATAAATGTAAAACAAAAAGAAAATAGGTTTTTGACTTAGAAAAGAATATGTTTGTTTAAAAAGATATTAGGGATTATTACAATATCAACTTTAACAACTATTTTACAGAAAAACATTATTTAGAATTAAAGACAGCAGTTAAAGAAAAGTTTTATTCTAAAAAAAATTAATACTACTAAAGTTCTAATAAGAAGAAAGAATATTTTTAATATTTCAATTAGAAAACTTAACACTTTAATAACACAAATAATCTTTTTGGTTGGTAGTATAATATTATTCTTATTATCCCTTTGTGTTGTTTTCATTATATTAATAATGGACAGTAATTTATTTTTATTGAAAATGCTATATTTTAAAGTTAAAAGAAATTATTTTATTTAATTCAAAACGTTATAATTTAAAAACAAATGACATTGTTACAACCCGTATTTATAATAATACTTGATATTGATTAAACTTTTTATTGTTCAAAAAACTCATCTTTGATTAAATTGATTACAAACCTTCACTAATAAAATTTTCTTACACCTAACTCACAAATAAGAAATTCATACAAAAAAGGTTAGTCTAATTGGATATATACAAAACTATGGGTAGGTTGGTTAAATACTCATTTGATTAAAAATGGTTTAAAGGAATAAAGAGATGATATAATGTAAAAAACAAGAAAATAAAATTGATAAAATAATAAAAATTAAGATTAAGATGAGTCAACTGAATAAAGTGACAAAAAAATCCGGGATAAATAACAAGTGATTCGTGGAAAGAAGAAATAAGAAATAGAAAGAATATTATGGAAAAAATAAAGAAGAAAACTTAAATAATCTCAAGAAAAATTTAAATCATGACAGCTGAGACACAATATACACCATTGGCTAATGCTATTGTTGTAGAACCTCAATATACACAACCACCTGCATACGCACAATCTACATCATACCAAGATGGATTTGTTCAACAACAAACATATTCTTCTCAAGAAAATTCTGAACAAACCTCTATGTTATTATTTATTTTAGGATTTTTCACATGCCTAACATGGGTCTTAAATATCTTTATGTTTAGAGATAGTACAAATGATAATACAAAGAAGTGGGTTAAATTATCAAAAATTTTACTTATCCTTTATACTATTCTTGTTGTAGGATCAGTTGCATTAACTATCATTATCAGTATTATTTCTGCTATAGTTGGTATAGCTGCTGCAAGTGCTGATGGTGTTATTTACTAACTCTAAAAGTTATTTTTTAACTTGAAGTTCTTTCCTTTTTAGATATTAATTGATATTAATAATAACATTTTTAATTATTTGTTTTTAAACCATATAAATTAAAGTATTTTTGTCAGTTTCATCTCGTTGGGCATATTCATTCTCTAACATATATTCAACCCCCTTTTTTAGTATACGGACGTCTGGAACAAATGACTTTTTTAATTCATCAACGGTTAAACGACACAAATCTTGATAACTTATTCGTTTTAGTCTTTTCATTATTCTTACTAAAATAGAAATAACCATTTGGAATCTTCTTTCTTCTACTTCATCATTTTCGCTTTTTATTTCTTCTGTTTTACTCTTTTTTTTAAAGTTACATTTTATTTTTAAATTTCCAGCTTTATTAAACTCTCCATTAAAAATAAATGTTTTATTCTCTTTGCTAATAAGTAGTTGTGACTTAATGAGGTCTTCTATTATTATTTGTGTTATTTCGATATCAAACTTATTTTCTTTACTGATAACTTCTTCATTCCGTTGTTCGTTTTGGCATAATAATAATACACAATAATGAGGTAATGGGATTTGAATTTTACATTTATTAATTACACACTCAACAATAGAAGAATTGTCACAAAGAACTAATTTTCTTTTTTCATGAACAGAATTATATTGGTCATTTATAATTTTCCAAGATTGGTCAATCAATGGAGGGAGTTTCATTCCAAAAGGAGGTTTAAAAAGTTTCTGGTTTGAAAGGACGTTTACATTAGTTTGAATAGGTAAAATTTTTGAGATTTGTTGAGTGAAAATTTGAGAAGATTGAAGCTCTGACAATATTTGTTGAATGGGATATGTTAATGCCTTTCCAATTAAGTTTGTTAACCGTTTTATAAAACAGCTATTTGTTTCAAAATTAATTTCATCCCCATACATAATTTTATCTGGAAGATATTTTGCATATTGAATTAGTAAAATATCTTTATTATTTAATAATGAAATGAAGTCACAAATCAACCCTATCTCTTCACTAGTACAAAAAGATGAGACAATATGATTGCAATATTCTGCAAGAAGAATGGCTAATAAATCTGGAGATTTTTTAAGTGGTTCAAGAGAAAGTATTCCTTCGGAAATTCCTTTCTTAAAATATTCAATCCATTGACCTTTTAATACTGATAAGACTCTATCAATTTTCTTTGAGAATTCTAAGATACCATCCCCAAGACTAACAGCATCATCTGACCAATACTGTTCAAGTTGAATTTTTGTTTTTTCTTTAACCCCATCTTTTAAAAAGATAAATACCTTCTCTTCAATCCCACTAACCTCAGCCAATTCTATTAATGCAGTTAGTTCTTCAGTATTTCCAAGAGTATTACTAATACATTTAAAATCTTCACAACGATCTGCAAGAAGGATTGTATTTAAATAAGTAATTGCATTTCGTTTTACTAAAGGAAGTGTTTCATTAATAAGAAGAACTTCTTTTGAATAAACTTCTTGTAATTGAATTGGGTTATTAATAGGGAATTTCTCGCTCATAACTTTGTAATCTTTCTGTGCTTGAAGAAGAAATTCATTAGATAAGAAAAGAACAAAATTAGTATCATAACCTTCAAGATATTTAAAAATCCTACCTAATTCTTCTTTTTGATCAATAAATCCTTTCATTCTCCAACTAGATAATACAGCCATTAATTTTTTACTAATATTCATTTGTGATTGTAGTTGTTTAACAAAAGAATCTCGATATGAATTATTTAAAATTGTATTAATATAATTTACATGAACTAATGTATCAATTGATAGAAACGTAATCATTAAACATTTCCTCACTCGTTTCCAAATAACAAACTCACTTTCTAAGGCCAAAACTATATTTTCATTTGTTACTAATCTGAATCTCTCAAATCTTTGTTCACTAAACCTTGAAACAATCTTTTCAATCATCTTAATCACTAATCCTTTATCGTCCCAATAATGTTCACAAAAAAATGAATAAACTAAATCATTCATAGAAGCCAATACACATGGCGTTGTTACTGAATCATTGTTTTGCATTACCACAATATTCAAAAATGGATCTAATGCATCATATAATTGAGCAATGCTGTCTTGTGTTACTTCCATTGAGCTTTATTTTTTAGTTTATTTATTTTCTTATTAAAAAACAAAATATAATAAAATTATAATAAAAATTAGTATTATCAAAAAGGAATAACAAAAAATTGATATGAATAATGAAATGATTGTTATTTTTCAGCCTGTTGAACAATTTTCTGAATAAACTCAGCAAATTCTTCTCGTGAACATGCTAAACTCATAAATGGATCTTTGTCAAGTTCTTCACAATCTGGTCGTTTAGTTGGATCAAAAGTTAAACACTTATCAACAAAATCAAGAATAGTTGGTGTATAATCTCCGTATTGAACGGGAGGAATTCCTTTTGTACTAATCTTGAATAATGCTCGTAATGGTGGATCATCAATGTATGGTGGAACACCTTCCATCATTTCTCTACACATAATGCCTAATGACCAAATATCAATATTTGTTCCATAATCTTTTCCTTTTATTACTTCTGGAGCCATCCAATATGGAGTACCAACAACAGTGTTTCGTTTGGATTTTCGTTTTGTGAGTTGAACAGAAATACCAAAATCAGCAAGCTTTATTTCACCCCTGTGATTTAATAAAATATTATCAGACTTAATATCTCTATGAATCCTATGAAGTGAGTGTAAATATTTTAGTGCTGTATTTGACTCATGTACAACATAAGCAATATGTCTTTCACTCAATGAAAATTCGGGGAAAAAATCCAACATTGCCGTCAAATTATTTCGATCCATATATTCCATTGCAATATATAAATAATTGTCTAATTCATAACATCCTAAATACCCAACAATATTTCTTTGATTTAATGTTTGCATAATTTTAATTTCTTGGATATTAACTGAATCATTTTTAATTAATACTTTTTTCATAGCAACTTCTTTATTTGTTGATGTTTCATAACAATGAAATACAACTCCACTCATCCCTTCTCCAATAGGGACATAGTCTTTATACAACACTGTTGGATCACCGCTGGTAATTAATTCCTCTATAAGTGTTAGTTTATATCTTCGTTGTTTCTTCAAATTAATCTTCATAGCTATATTATTTCATTTCAAAAGTATGATAAAACAAAAGGCATAAGTAATCTTTTTAAGAGATAAAAAGTCCAAGATTAATATTTGATAGTTATATTGTTAACAAGGAAAAAAAATAACAAACTTAGTACAACTGGAACATCATTTTCTGGAAGGGGTTGTTTCTGAGTTTCTTCTGTTTCATCATCTTGAAAAATTTGTGTGAATTCTAATACCTTTATAGCATCTTCTTTATTTGATTTAATTTCTTCACGAGTAATACCACAAGCTAAGAAGACATTTTCCCATTCATAAGGAATTCCAACAAATCCACCTTCTTCATATGCGACATGGGTTAAATGATGATAATCTGTTGGTTCACTAATATCCACAACTTCAGAAATTTTTTTAATCCAACTAGTTCTTTCCTCTTCACTCAAAGCCTCAAAGAAATATGTTTTATTTTGTGTTGGACAATAAACTTCAAAGGAAAATGGGTGATCTTCTATTTCACAACTTTTAACTGAAGCAAAGTCAAGAGGAACTGTCCCCCTTAGTTTTTGTTTTGACTCATCATAGTAATATAATTGCTCTTTTGTTAATACCAACCATCTGTTATACCAGTTCCATATAATATGTCCTTGTTTTACTACACATCCTTCTTTAATAATATTTCTAATACTTGAGTATGGTGTTGACATTGATTATTCTTTTTCATCATTTTTTAGTTCTTCAAAAAAATAAAAAGTTTTTTGTTTGTAGAACTATAAATAAACAAGAATGTATTAAGAATTTAAAAATAGAATAAAATTAAGTGTTAGACTTTATTTCATTAAAGAATCTCTATGACTCTGTTTAGACTTAATTAAGTTCAAAAAATATTTTTTATTTCAATTATTAAAACAAATTATTACAATAATTGGTTAAATTTAAAAATGGAAATAAGGATTAAATCAATAATTTGTTCTTATTCAAAAAGGAATGATATATTTTTATTCTTTTTAATTTATCTATTCTTTAAATACAATTATGTATATTTTTTTAGTATTCTCTAAATTAATGAAATGGATATTACAAAAAGTAAGATATGTTTTACTCTATGTCTATGTTTAAAGTTTCATCTTGGTTTTATTATTATTATTTTTTCAATAACAATAGTTTATTATTTAAATAAATGCTTTAGTCAAATTATTTTTTGTAACAGTTCAAATAATCAAATATAATAATTAGTAAGACTGATTGCCTGTTTTATAGTTTTTAAGTATCACTTTTATGATAAACAAAATAAAATATAAAGATGATAATAAAGAATAACCTATTAATATATCATTGTACTCAACAATAAAAGATGAAACAAGGAGATATAAGTTTAGTTTAATCTATAATTAAACTAGTTGAATAAATCTGAATTTCATTATTTTTTATAGGATATTATTTTATAAGACTAAACAAAAATAAGAAGATTTGGCAACGAAAAAAAAA